AATAATAGTCTTTTTTTTTTATTATTTTAAGGAAGAAAAATAGTTTTTTTCCGCTTTAATCATATAATTATCTTTTAACTTTAATTATTTATCTTCTTATTGAAGTAGATATTTATTTTTAATTATTTTTTAAGTATAAATAGGTAAAGATAGAAATTGTTTTCAAATCTTTCATTTCGGGATAGAACAAAAAATCTATTATTCTAACATGTAGGGAGTAATATTTAAATAATGAAACTTGTTGATTTTTTATTATCACAAAAAATTGTATAATTTCCTTTTAGAATTTGGAGTTGTTGAAATTACAAATAAAATTGAATATTATGATAATATTGAAGTTATATAGAATGAAATTGGATTGGAGTAAAAAAATTTTTTAAAAAGAAGAAGAAGAAGAAGAAAGTATAGATCCACAATGGGAACATCAATGAACCCAATAAAAGAAAAAATCTTGGACATGATCATATAGAGAAAAGCAATAGGAAGATAAATTAAGTATAAAAGGAAGATAAACTAGTATAAAGTGTAATTAGTTTGTAAAAGGGGAAAAAAATTGTTTGATCATAGAAAGTGGTAAGGTGGAAACGTAGGATGTTGCTGTATTTCATATTTGCCAAACTCACCTGTGGAGGTGGTGGAGAATCTCTTCACCCTACCAGCAACAATAGAAAGAGTATTTTCTACTATGAAAATTGTAAAAACAAAACTTCACAGTAAAATAGATGATGAATTCCTTTCAAACTTTTTGATTGTTCATATTGAAAAAGAAATAGTTCAGTTATTTAGTATAAATTCTATCATAGATAAATTTCGTGACATGAAAAGTCATCAAATATTATTTTAATTTATGATATAAAAGTAAATTTCCAAAATTACAATGCATTATTTTAAGACTTAAAAAGCCGTTTTCTCCTAACTAAAATTCCTCACTCCGCCACTTATTATAAATACTAAGAACTATAAAAAAGTCATCCATAGTATAGTATATTACTCTCTTATATGTACATATGTATGCATTCTTGTAGGTGATGAAAGATGGAATCATTGTTCACTTTGGAAAATATGAAGAATTGATATCTGATCATACTGGTGAATTTGTTAGATAAATAACTGCCTATAGAAAATCACTAGACCCAATGAACCGCCACAAGAAGATAATCCCTTGATTGTGCAATCATGTCATCAAAATCAAAATGAGGTACGTAAGAGAAATACCATGAGCCCACTTGCTGCACCAAAATCTTAAATAGTTGTCATGAAGAAGAAACAAAAACAAGTCACGTAAAATTTAGTGTTTACTTGACTTTTTTCACTTCAGCTTATAAATGAATTCTTGTTCCAGTTATCCTTCTCTGTCATGTACTTTTCCAAGGGTTATAGACGGCCAACAATCATTGGATTGATTTGGCAACCGAGGAAAAGCATAGCAGTTAGTAGGGGTATTTATATTACTCTCAGATGGACGCTCCATTTTTGTACTAAGAAGGGCAATTCTGCTGCCAAATGTTGCAATTGAGACTACTCAACGCCTTTTCCTTGGGATGGTAACTTTGGTTTTTCATGCACTAATTTCATTCTTTGACTCCACACCATTAAGTCGAACTCAGAGCAGGGTTAGTTTTTTTTGTTGCGAATAAGTTCCGTTACTTTTTTCCCTTAAAAGTTATCTATATATATTAGAAATTATTAATCATCAATTGTCTATCGCTTGTTGTAGACTTCTATAGATCAAAGCACATTAGACACAAACATTTTGTACAGATTAGTAGGACTTGCATTTACTCTAATTCAAGTGTTGTAATCATTCTTAATTCCTAGTTCACTTGGAAAATCTTGTTTCTTTTCCTTTCCATACTCGAAATCTCCATTTGGTATCAACCAAGAACAAAATCCATCTCAAAATTTTAATTATATAAACTCTTCACTCAATCAAGAAACTCTATCTATAGGATTTTTGTTCTTCACCATTTAACCATTGCAAACATTCCATAGGCTTATTTTATTACCACTACTAGGGAGCTAGCAAGGATGGTTGGGATTTGAAAGCCTATCTTGTATCACTTCTCTGAATCTATCATGGGAGCTACAACAATTTGCTATTTTAACCAAGAAGATAGGTTCTTGGAGAAAAGCATGAACTTGGTTGATGATTATTATTGGGTAGTCAACCATAACACTGGTACAATGGAATGGCTAAGTGTTCAAATCAACTTTCTATTCAGTCTTGTTTTCTTCTAGGTTGCAATTATCTTAGTGAGCTTGCCCAGTTCAATCATTGACCCTAGTAAGATACTTCCTTTCATATTCTTTTAAGTTTTTTCTATGTAGAACTCAGTGTCATGATTAACTTATCCCAAGCTTGGTTGGATTGGCAGCCACCTACGAATTAAACTTAAATGTGCTTTAAGCTTGGGTGATTTGGAACCTATGCAATGTTGAGAACAAAATGATATCAATGGAGAGAATTCTTCAATTCACGAACATCAATAGTGAGGCTCCATTAGTGATTGAAAATTAACGACTCAAGCTTGAATGGCCAACAGATGGAAAGATTGAACTTGAAAATCTTCAGTTGAGGTATACTCCTACCCTCCCTATGGTTCTCAAAGGCATAACTTGCACACTCCCAGGAGAAAAGAAAATTCGAGTTGTTGGCGGACTTGGGAGTGGGAAGTCAACTTTAACCCAAGCTCTCTTTAGAGTGGTGGAACCATGTGGTGGCCAGATCCTCATTGATGCAGTACATATTTGTAGAATAGGTGTGCAAGATTTAAGGTTCAAATTGGCTATCATTCTACAAGATCCAACATTGTTCCATGGAATCGTGAGGACAAATCTAGATACTTTACAAGAGCACATAGATGAAGAAATGTGGGAGGAAAAAAATTAGAACTTTTGGTTTTCTAAAAACAGTTATTGATGTAATTTAACTTAGTTAATCTGATAATCAGGTTCTCAACAAATGCTGTCTAGTAGACATGGTGAGGTAGGATTAGCGGCTTCTTGATGCTCTGGTAAATTTCATAACTAAAAAGTAGACTTCAAATCTACTTAAATATCTGCTAAAGTGCAGTAAACGGTGCAATGGCTAAAGATGGAGAAAATTGGAGTGTTGGACAAAGACATGTTGAAATCGACTTGGAAATGATTTATCAAGATCTCTTGCTAGGCTCGTTCTGTATATGTTAGTATTAATGCAACTTTATAATTTTAACTCATTCTACCAACAATTTGATTAATGCAAGCAATGTGATTGAGTGTGATCCCCCAGGGAAGTTACTTGAGGATAATTCTTCTTCCTTTTCAAAGTTGGTTGTAGAATTCTTGAGGAGATCATCCTAGGGAATTATCAAGACCATTTAACTCTTTTCATAATTTGATATTTTTAGAATAACATATTTTTACAATTGTGTATGTCAATAGTTATGACTATTTTTTTCCCCACCTGACTATTTTAATAATTTGATACTAATAGCATCCAAAAAATTATAATGCAAAAACCAAACTAAATACTCTCCCAACAAGTTGCCCCTTTCAGTGATCAAATCTGACTTGCCTTAGAATCCCATAAAGAAAGAAATTGATACCAAACCTTTTATGATTCACTTCACCATAAAGAAATGCTTACTGATGGTTATCCTCAAGGACAAGTGGAACTAAAGTTGGCACCCAACAGATCATATTCCTAGATTCTAGAAAAAGTGGAATTTTTTTTTTTTTTATATAGAAAAGATTAGTATTACTTAAGAAAAGTTATCAGTACAGATAGCAATAGGTAAAGTCCTAACCCAAACACCTTTCCATGGAGAGGATAGCGATGGCATTTGTGCTATCCTAAGAGCTATATCATTAAGATTCCTATGAACATATTTAAAGGAACAAGAATTAAATAAGCTAGTCTTTTCTCTCATATCTTCAACAACAACCCCATAAGGTAGATAACAATTATATGATGATGTCACCACTTGCACTACACCCAAACTATTAGACTCCACAATGGTATCTTTGCAACCAAATTCTTTTCCTAATTGCACACCAAAATGGAATGCCAAAACTTCTGCATGAGTGACATTGCCTTGGAACTAGAAAGTTTGTTTGCTTGCACCTAGAACAATACTATTGCTAGCTCGCAAAATTGCCTCGACACTTGTAGTGCCCAACTGGTTTGGGACTCTAACATCTGTATTAATTTTAGTAACGCCAACTGGTGGTGGCGTCCAAGTTGCTTCTACAGTGGCAAGTCGAGGTGTTACCTCTTAAATATCATCTTCAGCTTTCTCTGTAGCTTCTTTATACTCCTCTAAATAATGCTTGATGGCTCTAGCACTTTTATTAGGGGTGAAACGGGTATGGTTATATATACATTTGTTCTTCTTATTCCGTATGGACCAAAGAGTCACAGCTACAGTCTCTTTGTTTTCCTCACTCAAAGGGAGGAAAAATTCCAAGAAGTCATCTATAAATGAATCATGTTGAATAGAATTCAAAGATACTGCTGGAAGAACTTCTTTCTATACCTCTTTACTCCAAGCGCAACCAAAGAATAGATGAAAATAAAATTCACCTGCTGCTCTACATATACCACATTTCTGTTCAACTTCAAAGCCACGTGATTTTAATACATTCCTGGATGGCAAAATCTCTCAAATGATTCTCCACATGACATGCTTGATTTTAGGAGGTACATCCATTAATTTGCCAAATTGCTGTCCAAATAGGCTTCATAATATGATCATATTCATGATAGTCAAATCCAAAGATCAAATGCCATGTATATTTGTATGCAGTTCTGATTGAGAAAAGTGGAAAAGTTAAGCTACTATTTTGGACTAAAATCCACATGCTTTTTTTTTTTTTTTTTCAAATTTTCATTTCACCAATATTTTTTTCGACAATGCTATAGTTATAATATGCTATACAATATATTAAATAAATATAACATAATATTAAATAAGTATATACATTCATTAATTATTACAAGTAAACTCTTGGATGAAAAACACTAATTATATAATAATACATCATATCATATGCTTATAATGTCATATAGTATTGTAACTATAACATTTTCATATTTTTATGAATGTGTTTAATCTGTATCTTTGATGTAAATGTTCATTATACATTAATTACAAGTTTTACCAATAATTTATATAGAAAATTTTGAAAATAAATTTTATTTTTGACACTAATGACACATAATTTTAATTATATTGTTGATAAAATTAAATATCACTTTTATTTTTTTAATAGGAATCAATGAAAACAATGCAACTAATGCGGGTTAGAACAAATTTATTTTTGTTTGGTTAAATACCAAATTTAAAAACTTTAAATTTTAAACAATCTTAGTCCTTACATTATTTTGCACTTTTTACTCCCTTAACTAAAAGAAAATATATTCTTTTTGTTCTTTTGTTAAATAACTCGAAATCACATTTTCTTTTTTCTTTTTTTTTTTATGACGTGTCGTTTTTAATTCTTTTTGATTTTAATTGAAAATTAAAAAACTACCTTTCAAATCTTCTTCTTGCTTTGCCTATGAATCCTTTCTTCTTTCCCTTTGTTTCTCTCATCCTCCCTTTATCTCTACATTCTCCTCTCAAGCCATCACCCACGCCCTTATAACTAACATTCTTCTCTTTTTCCTCCAATTGGCCCCTTTCTTTTATCTTTTTCAATTTCTTCTGCGTTTCTGGGCTGGGTTGGTTCAAAGGTTTAACAATCCCATATTTGATTTCAATGAACTTATATTATGGTTTGGGTTCAAACAATGGACTAGGTTTGTTTGAACCCTCGTTCAAACTTAATGCTGGGTTTGTTGAAACCCTGCTCATCTAGGTTTATCAGAAGCCTGGATTCCGTCGAACTCAATGATGGGTTCGTCACAAAACGCAAATCTAGGTTCCATCGAAACCAATGCTGAGTTCTTTGTTCATTTGTCATTTAGAGCATGTTTGGCGAGGCTGGTCTTTTTATTGAAGTCCTTTTAGAAAGAATCAGTTATAAAAGTTTTTTTTTAAGAAGTAAAAAATATTTGATAAAATTTTTTATCAAAGGCCTTTTAAAGTATAAAAGTATTAGTAAATTCTTTTATAAGAGATTTTTTAATATAATGTAATGGTAAAATGATTGAAATAGATATTTTGTACTTTAATCA